GTCGAATCATTCAGTAAATTTAGCGTATATGTAGAGAACCCTTTGCAAAATATACAAGAAATGGATCCGCAACAGAAGATGGAAATGACACCTCAAGAAAAAATATCAGAAACCCCACCCTCACCGAATATACCAGAAATGTCAGAAAATAACGCCAATGTTCGATACGTGTTAGATTTCAAAGGTGAACCAACGGTAAGGAGAATGATTGACGTAGGCGATGGAGTTCGGAAAACTTTTTTTTTATATCACGCAAACGTCATGTCCCATTCACAGACGTTTGGTCGTTCACTTGACCTCCGCTTCCACATCCGCGCTTACTGATCGTCCAAGATATCCTAATCCATTTAAATCAACCAGATTACAGCAGACAAAGTATCGAACAGAAAAGTACTGACTTCTCCGCTGACTGATTAGAACTTAAAACTGATTTGTCTAACTTGTAAACCCAAATACGATCGAATCTCGACTGAGACATTAGTCATAGCTTCGGCAGTTACGTGGTAATAAGACTGGAATTCTCTTCCAGGTTCACAAAGGCTTCAAACCATTAATCTTGTCCAACTAATAAAGAACTAGTTCAGCTGAAAATACGATGAAATGCAACTTTCGTGTAATTCATATTGCTCATACTTGCTTTTACGACCGTCTATTATGCTTGTTTGAGGAAAAATTTTCTTAAACCCGCGAGTATTTCAAAATTCATGTTTATTTCAAGCAGTATTTGTGTATGAACTTTGTCATTTCATCGAGTATTAGGGAACTTCTTTCTCGACCTAACACACCACGACTGATTCCCATTTTGAATCCTTTATTTCTTGTCTGCAGCAAAATCATCTCATGTCAAGTGGAAAGAGTACTTCTTCACTTAATCAACTTTCTAAGCCCAATTCTTTGCCTATCTTAGGTAATTTTGTTATTTCTTTTATTAGTTTCAGGAAGAATTTGTGGTAAACCTCAAGACGATTGTTCTATCAGCGCATTCGTGGCTTTGGTGTACAAAGAAGCGAGCGACATCCAGCGCTGCTGCTTGGAATGATATCGCCAAGCGTGTAAGTATGCTTCATGCCGAGGTATGAAAATTAGTTTAGTTTGTAATCGTCTTACAAGTTCTTCTACCGCAGCGGCTAGATTCGCTTTGTACTACGTCGTCAACGCAGGTTTGATCCCGCGTTCCAGGCAAATCAAACCTTTAATATTTCCGGTGCCCACGAACTGATATCGTGTTTATCTGAGAGGATAAAACCACCAATTACGCACAATTTTATGAGCCATATATGCATTCAACTCCATTGCGAAGATTTTGATGGTCCCCAGCTTGATGGGTCATGCCCAATGACTGATCAACACTGAAGGTCCATTATAAGTTCGTATACTCTTAGCATGAGGATGAAACAAAATAGCTCCCCGCTTTGGCCAATCCTCAAGGGATGAGCTATTCATTCAACATCATTAAGCGACGTTTGAGGCGATCAAATTCACATCTAGCCTTTACAACGGTAGCCCAAAGATGTATCAAGTCAGTGCTGCTAACCTCTCAAATAGATATGATACCACTCCGTCGAACCCCGGGATATGGCAGATGAGCCTCGAGCGCGAGATAGGATCGCTTCCGTGCGCGTCGCATGGCACCTCTAAATCACTCCACACACCCTCAGATATAAGACAGTTTGGAAAGATTAAGCAGACTTCCATGCCGTGAATCTGTACAAAATCTTCTATAACAGAGAATCCAGAAATAACTTTGAGTCAACATATAGTAAAAGAGAATTGGTACTGTTCTATTACCGCGGTGCTACAAGAGACCTTCGGTAATGACGTATTTTACGCTTTTGCATAACAATTCTTTAGTTTATCAATAGCCCAAATCAACGCAATTTTGAAGACATATTTTATTTCTCGTATTGCTTGTTTTTAACGCCGTACCGGTCAAAATGAGATCTTGTTTCACATTTGGAGATTTGCCGCCTGATAAAAGATTTTTTTATAGGAAAATTCTAACCATTAGATAGAGCATATGTTTTTGAATAAGAAAATGTGTTTGCTCTTTGATATAACAGGTGTATACACACTCTAGTCGACTAGCAGTGCTCATTGAGTGTGAAACTCAATATTCTTTCGGTCGTTACAAAGCTCGAAAAAGTTCTTTCCGCAGGCTAAATATACCATCACAATACGAAAAATTTAATCCATCTAACGATTATAAGTTCATTGAAACGAAACTTTTACCCAGTGAGACGACACTAAAAGTAAGCTATTTGAGAAAGAAAACATGTCATTGAAATTCATTTGATTTGAGCTATCGATGAACTACACTAAGGTTTTGCAAAAGCAAAAATATGTTTTTACCGGAGGCCTTAAGTGGCGCCGCCATAATAGAACAGTATTGGAGAATTACCAAAGTCACTAAAACATGGCCAGCCAACAACTTCCTCAACAAAAAATTGAACGAAATTAATGAAGTAGATATAACACGAGTTCATTTTATGCACTTTCTCTGTAAATACACATATGATTAGTAGTTTATTCAGGGTTTTGATATAAAAGCTGGATCCAAAGAAGCTAAAGAAATCCGAAAAATGTTATCGCACAAGGGATTCAACGCACACGGACTACTGGATGAATACACAGCAAAAAAACATAAGAAAAAGAAAAAGGTTTGAGGTATAGCAAAGGCTTATGTAACTTCATGGATTATCATACTGCAACGAGGTCAGTGAGAATGATTTATTCGGCTAACGTTTCGACGTTTTCGTCTTCTTCAGATTCGGACTCGATCTCAGTCGAAGGTACACGGGCGATTGTCCTCATGATGCGGATGTTCTTCGTAGCATCGAGTCGAATCCAGTAAAGTGGATCACCATCCGGAACCTCTTCTTTCGAGACCTTTTCAAATAGGACGGATAGAAATATCTTGATTGCATATGTACAAGCTGATATAAAACCGATTGCTAAACGATACATTTCGCCAAGAAAAGCAGATGATATGGACTTATCCTGAGCAAATTAGCGCCGCTGACAGGAAAGGTTATTTACTCGAGTGGTGCTCCATTTCACTGGAATTGACCTTATGCGACAACGAACACTCACATTGAGAGGACGACAACCTGTGAACAATCGAGTCGTACCAATCTGATTCTGAACAAGATGAAGATGTCGAAGCGTCACCCAAATAAATGTTTTTTAATCATCCTCGTTTTGGATTGATAACCCACGAATTTTCATGACTAGAAATCACATGTTATGTGGACTCCAGCTCATTCGTTATTTGCTTGGTTATTCCGCCTCCGTACATCACCTAGGTATTCAGATTTGCGTATGAGTAAGGTTCCACTCTATGATTTTGCTCTCTTAGCTGAAGATTTGGAATTTTGGTCGAGCTTATTCTCCTTTGAATTTTGATATACAGATGATCTCTTTATTAAAGTGCTCCCAACTCTTGACCAAAGGACCAGTCACCGGCCACTAATGGGGAGCTTTTGACAACGATGCTTTAGGTTTACTGCTTGCAAAAAGATGGAAGGTGTCGTTGGCCTGCGGCACTGTTTGACCACCCACCAAGCACGTATCATTTCACAACATTTCCAACTACTGCTTTGTTAGTATCCCGTAGTCAACTTTTACAAAATGTAGCAATTATATCGGCAATTTAATGCTAGTCATATGCTGAGTGTATAAAAAGACTTCAAAGTACATCGGAAGTTTCTTCGAACCTGAAATTATCGCGTAAATAATGTAGAGACGACAAAATTTGAAAATGTATCACAAAAGAAAACTTCTAAATTTAACCAATGAATGATTAAAGACGAGAAGCACATAGAAAGAATACAAAAATTTTCAGGAAAATCATGAAAGCTATTAGAAAAGAAGAATTCTGTAACTACAAAATCATTGTCATTAATGATACTTGCAAGAAATAAAGATTTTAGAATTTTTATGGTCTAATTACTATGAACATCTACGCATTATTTTTTATTCACTGGACAGAACTTGGCATATTCGAATATAATCGGGCTCAAATATAGCATTTTCTATAGCCATCCGATAGAAAAGACGCACCTAATGGCGAGGGGGAAAAGTTTACGCAACCATTCCATTCGATGGTCATATAGCCTTTGTCCTTTTGCACTCTGTTTGCATTTCTCTTCCACCGATATTTTCCCTTGTGAAGTTGATAAATGAGAAATGAACACAGAACCTGATGATAAGGATCCCAATGCTGGATTTCAGGGAAAAAAGAAGACCTTGAATTTGTGAGTAGTTGATAATATCATACCTTTCGATTCCAGTGTTCTCTTGAGACCACAGCTTATATTTCAATATGCCTGATAATCATTTTTTGAGCTACGCATGTCACTGGTCTGTCAGGAAGGGCTGACTTATAGAGCCCAATACACGGTTTCGATCTTGCGATCTCGTCCGTCGGGCAGTTACCCTTTCTCGTCCTTTGCTAATCTCTTTGGGTGCTCCAGTTCCTACAATAAGAGTTAGCGACGACGTACGTTTTACACTCTACGTCCAGTGGAAATCTCACCGAACATAAGGTGTTGCACACTCGATTGCTCTTAGCTGATATATTCAAAATATCATATCTTTCGATTCGAGTGTTTTCTCAAGACCACAGCTCAAAATTCAATATGCTGATAATCATTTTTTGAGCCACGCATGTCAGTGGTCTGTCAAGGAGAGCTTTCTTATGACTAGGGCTTATTAACACTTTATGTTCAGTGAGAATTTCACTGAACATAGAGTGTAAAACGTCCGTCGTCTCTAACTCTTAGCGTGGGGGACTGGAGCTCCTACACAGGATTGGCAAAAGACGAGAAAGGGTGACTGCCCGACTGACGAGATCGCAAGATCGAAACACGTGTGGCACGTTTGCACCACCACTCATTCTTCTACGTCTCTATGTTAGCCATCATACCCGACCAATCCTGTTAGAAGGTTGGTGGCTGATAGATAACATAGAGATGTCGAAGAATGAGTGGTGGTGCAACTGTGCCTCTGTGGTGTGGTAGTAGTAGCACGTGTCCCCGGCATGGATGAAATGCGGGTTCGACTCCCGCCTGAGGCCGTGTTTTGCTCACCAGTCAATTCTCCGAAGTAATAATTTCACTTAAAGTTTCTTTCGAAGCAAAGAGAGTATTTCTAATTGAATAATAAAAGTTGCACCTTACCTGAGACCTGTCTAAGCGCCGCCGATTAGTCACTAAACAGTTGCGCCGAATATGTGAATTTGGTCTTATTTACCCTGATACACTGCAGTGAAACGATCTTCCCAGAAAATAAGCACAGCGTTGAAATCATTGAAATTGGCGCTATCAAATGATTACTAATAGTCTGAATAATGAGCTCTCTTCGCCGCGATGGAAAACACAAATGCCTTCCTTCTCCTAAAGCACTACGAAAAGAGCTTTTCCGAAAAACGAACACATTTTTGAGTTACTCGAGACTTGTGCTAACGAAAGAGTATTAGCAGTCTAAGGAAGGAGCTTTGTCTCGCGAAATTTAAGCAAGAGAAGAAAAAAACCGCGACTGTATGAAACATAATTTTATTCTCGATGCTACAGCACTATAAAAAGACCCTTATAAAAATCGGCTATGTAAGCCTTTAGCCAAAGATTTGACCTTTGGAATTACTATTGAGACTCTCACGAAAAACCTCTTCTCCAGCAAAAGGGATTGGTTTTCATCCTGTGTCGTCTGACGGAAAAGTACCGTCACTTTTATCTCATATCTCTCTATTGTTTGCCACACATTTATGGAAAGCATTAGGACTTATTCAGGTACATCACCAGGGTTCTTTTGGAGACACGGTTTTTTAGAATGAAAAAAAACATTATTTCAAGTGCTTTTGGGAAGCGTGCTACGTTATGGATCCCAGTATGCCTAAGGGTATCTTGTTTGGTTCTTCGAGAGCAAACAGATTCTATTTGTTGGAAAAAACACTGAATAGTCATGTAATTCATGTAAAATGTCGACATGAAAAGTAACAAAATATAGACTCACATTCATAAATCCCCAAATGCACTTATTGAGATCCAACTTGTTTTTAAGACTTACAAATCAGTTCTTAAAAGAACTACCGACCGTAACTTTCATTTTTACTTGCTTCCAGGGAAAATGCTATCTCTCCCTTTCATATTGAAATTGACATATATGCTCCCAGTTATGGATAACGACCATTGTCTCTCATAAATGAGCTAATATAGAACCATTAGACGACAGAGAATCGTCGATTGTTTGGTTTAGAATAACTGTGGAATACTCCACAAGTTCTCCTTAAATTATTCGTCCATAAACCTTTTCCATACGTCATCTACACATGATCAAAATGTATAATCAAATAAGTAACTTTGAAGGAACGGCATACGCCTTAAACAAGCACATTTTCTCCTTCGACACAGTTAAAGGCTTTTCAGTACTGTTTGCAAAATGTAAAATTATCAAAATTAAAGAGGAAAAAATGGATAGAACTACTGATCTATCCGTGAGGGACGCGTCATCCATTCGATCCCATTAGGCATCGTCAGAGCTGATTAAATGATTATTTGCCCAATACAGTGACTCAAAATGGCTCAGCGATGTATAAAGCCAGTGCTGCTGTTCTCCCAGACAAGATTGGCACCAATTTGCCGGATCCCAGAGGGATGGAAGGCTCAGTGATTCTAGCCAGATAGACCGTCGACCACGTGTGTATCACAGAGCGCCTTTAACCACTGTTCCGCTCGCCTCCTAATTTTGAAACTGAACTAGACAAAATTTGACTCCCGCTCAATAGAATTCAGCTTTTTCGTGGAACACAAAAGTCGACGTGAATTCATGTTCGTCTTCAAAACATACATAGCCACACTCTTAAACATCAACATAAAACAATAACAATGGTAACAACAAGAATGGTAACTGTGCATCAGTTGACAAACTATCAAATCAATTTGGATTTTATTCGTCGTCCTCACTTTCGTCCTCTTTACTGCTCAATAATTGTCGCTTCCTAGAAGTGTTCGTAAATGCCCGTAGAACCCATTCATCTTCTGCAGCAGCAATATTTTCCAGCGTTCCCAATTTTATTGCGTATGCTAAAAAGAATTCTTCAGAAGTCTGTACAAATTTAGGTCCGATCACTAGAAATAACACATCTTATGAAATTCTTGGGTTCTTTTCCGTTATCGAGGCCCTTTCTTTAGAGCTTTGAAATTGTATAGCAATTTTCCACTGAACTCTTAATATCAGTCGAAAGCTGAAATCATGGTTATTTCAGTAAGAATCTTGTATTCTTAAGAACTTCTTACAGCGCTGTGACTGTGAAAATAAGATTGCCTTTCACATGCGGTGCGCGTTATCGCGTGTATTTCCGTTCTTTACTCAAAAATCTTCTCTCCGTTTTGTGGAAATTCCTAGGTATCTTTGCAATTGCAGAAGAAACTCTGTCATATTGTTTCATAGGCTTAGGCTTTCCATTTTCATTTTACAGTGTCAAACAAACCCCTACTGAGCCTGAGCCTAAGCATCATAAACCTATGCAAGAAGAGTATATGAGCGTGTAGAAAAAATCGATAGGTACCACAATCAAACGTTTCATATGTAGTCTTTTTTTTCAAAGCGGAGAAAAAACTCTAAACTAGATAATAGAAACCGCGCGTCACATGTGAATCGCGCTACGCCATCAATCAAGCCATCGCGAAAAGTAACGACTCCGAGTGTTGAACGTCATGTTCTTTCGCTCTTAAAGCGCTCTATAAACTTTATCGGAATCAAAATTAGATTCACGATTTAAAAATATCTACAAAGTTTAGCCGTGCAAGTAAAGCACTTTGAGCACTCCGAATGATGACTCAACTATATTCTTGCTGCTACAGCACTCTAAAGGTCTTTGAAAAACTGTAGTTTGAAATGTCCTAGATTTGAGCTATCGAACGATTACAAAAGCCCGAAGAGGAACCAGAAAGAGCCTTCTCAAATGCGAAAAAATGAGATCCGATGACGGAAAAGGACCAAGTCTTGCAATGGAAACGCAACATGACCCTACTTACGCCTTAATTCAAATCGTGGCCCAACTTCCTTCAGTTCAACTTCTCCTTTGACTAACTAAAAATGAGAAAAATTTAATGTGCCCTGGGATCACAGTTGTGCAGGAAAACCGCCATTAATCGAAAGATTTGAGCCAACTCACTGAATAAGTATGATGTCGGAACGATATAAAGTCGTCGTTGTTAGCGAATGTGATCACTCTTTTCGAGCTTTCCTTAGGAACAGGAAAAAGATACTTGAGAATCGATGTAAACTGAAAATGTTTCGGGAATGCAGGGCATTTGAAAACTTTAAATCTGTTGCACAGTTAGACTCTGACGAATGCAGTTTAAGAAAGTTTGGAAACTCGCCACTCAGGAAAAAAAAGAGCAAATAATGTCAAGCTTGCAGTTAAGTCAAAAGCATAGAGAAGAACCAAAAGACACAAAGGACAAACTAATTGCTAAATCTTGAATTGTTTTTACCACTTTCTTGGCGATGTAATTGTGTACTAAATTTACGTCTAAGAAAGTTTAAAGGTAAGCAGAACATTCGATCCCGGACGGGAGTTGAACCAGGGCGCACCCGGTATGGGTGAAAACACGAGTTCAACTGCCGCTTGGGATAGAATGTTGCGCATACCGCTCAACATTCTTAGGTGTACAACTTGTTAACGACATTCGGCTCTCAAGATACAAACTCACCCTTTGTCCTAAGCGACTTCCGAGGTTATGGAAGATCAGGTGAGGATACTGCTCACTCATTGGCTCTCTCTCAGGAATATCATGTCGCATTACCACATTTGACATAGTGAAATAAGCCGTTGGACCAAACGGTAGGTGACAGACGACCATTCCATCGGGATTACCTCGTGTTTCGGTCAACATGATAAAGTCGGTCACCTGATAAGAAGAGACTAGAAGACTATCCACATAATAAAACACACATCTCGCGTCTTGTAGGGCTCACCTAGCTATGTATCTAATATATAATACACACATATTTCACCCTTTCAAAACGGCGCTTGATCGATTGCACTGCACGATTTTCAAGCGTCATGCGATTTTCGTTATTTAATTGAGGTTTCCTTCTGTTTTGAAAAGAAAAACATTAGATTTCCCGTATTTTCCTGATACTCTATGATTTTCTCTACATGTCCATGTGGTTTTTCTGCATGTGAAGCTCTTGTGTACAAAGAAAATCCGAGTGCAAAACGCAGTCTTCTTCGCTATTACAGCGCCCTGTGAAAATCTCTTTAAAACCGATTTTAACCCCAGCACCACAGGGAACTGAGCTGTCGAATGACTACCAAAATCTTAGTGAAAAGCCTCCACAGACCCCACTCACCCGAGGATGCAAAACAAAGCGAATGTGGTACATAATATTCATTATGTTGCTACAACGCAATAAAAAAGCCTTTCTAGAAACCAAGCACATTATTGAAATTGCCGAGACTAGATCTCTCGTATAGTTACTGAATTTCCAGGGGGATTTTTTTTACCAGCGAGAAAGGCCTCCAGAAATTCGTGCGTTTTTTTCGATATACTCCGTCCCGAAATAGTTTGATGCCCTTTTCGCTGAACAGAGCTTTTCCACTAAACGTTTATATGTCATTCGATAGCGCAGAAAACTGCAATTCTATGATTGTGCTTGGTTTCTGGAAAGACCTTTTTAGTGTGCTGTAGCAGCCTTTAGAAAACCACGTTTAACCTTCGACGCGCATTTTTTGCATGGCTGCCGTCTGTGCTTGGGTTTTCATAGAATTTCAGACCTCATTCGTCAGCTTAAATTTCTTGAATCTCGTTGATTCTCAAAATGTGTTTGCTTTACAAAAAATTCTTCATAAAGCGCCGTGAGAGCAAAATAATACTGTTTTACACTTGAGTTAGATATATACATGACAGCCCTCAACAGTCCCACATGCACAAAGAACATGGGAGATAGATTTCAGAAAATTATGAGGTTTTAAGGTAACTCAAAAGTCTACTTTATTCAGAATAAAAAAAAAACCCTAGCGAAATTACGAGACCATAGTCACTAGGGGATAAAGAGAGAGCGGTACAA